TTGCCACCGCTCACGAAGTTGCTGCCGGAGCCTGAGAAACTCCACCGGCGGTCATACGATGGCTTAAGATGCCCTCACGAATGGCCCGATGTTGCTACGATCACAGCCGAATTTGAACATTTCCTTTATCGTGTGTCCATCGGGTTGTTTTATTGCACAACAAAATCATGTAAACATATTATGTAAATAACCCAATTTGTGTTCTGTGAAACTGAAAAGGATATAACATATTATTTTGAAGGCGAATTGACAGGAAGTTGTTGTTGCTATGGAAACAATGTTACAGAGAAAACTTAATATTTTCTACATATAACGACGGATAAAGTAAAGAACACAGTCTGAAGATATCAGTACAGTATCATAGTACTTTAACATAATTGTTTTTGTTACTTTCGTTGCAGTTGTATGTCTTAAATGTAATGTAAATGTTGCCTTCGTGTGTGGTTTGGGGCCATCTTCGTGCGAAATTCACAATTCCATATTCGTGTGTCCATCGGGAGTCAATTTCGGGACATTGTGACAGGGCCTTTATGGAGGTCACTGCTCTACAAAACGAGAGCAGGTGAGGAATTAATGTTACCTATTGGCTGTAATGGTATGTGTTGAAATGAATCACTTGAGGCATGACAAAGAAAGAAACAGAAGGCTAGTATTATACAGGCTCTCACCTGAATCCCACTCTGCCCACAGAGACATCCTCCTCCTCCTCCATCTCTGGATCGCTGTCTCTGCTCTCTGCCTGTTGTTTTATGAATGGACAGTATACTTCATCATTCTCCTCGATCTCAGCCAGCAGGAGATGACTGCGCATCTTAAAGGCTGCCATTACCCTCTCCAGAGAATATGCTGGAGGACTGGATTGAATCTAAAACCACACAAGCATTTGCACAGATATATGTACAGCCATTAAAGGTCAACAAGTATGACACAGAAGTCCACACATACAGAAGAAAACGTGCAGCTTCATACCCTCCTGGGAGGTCCGTGTCTATAGCTTTGTCTGATCAGAGGGACACTGTGGGATCTCTTGTCTGAGTTCCCAGAAGCCCCTATTTCAAGAGTTCCCTCGGAGGCTGCACCCCTAAAGGTCACAAGGTCACTGCGAAGATGACTGATGGTGATCTGCTGGTCTACCAGTTGTTCAGTCTGAAAACACATTTGTTTAATTTGCAGATAATATACAAAGCTAAGGGTGTCAGCATCTTTTTGTCCCATATAAAAGAGCCACACTCTCCTCACCTGTATTCGTGTGCGTTCCTTTTCTTCCTCTAGGGCCTGAAGGTGGGTTTTTCTTTCTTGAAGAAGCTTATGTACTTCTTTTTGGACCTGTCTTAGTTCTGCATCTTTCTGCTCCAATAGCTGTTCCTCTAAGGTGAGAGACTCCTGAGAGACAGAGAGAGAGAGAATGTGTCTCTGCTCACTCTATACTTCGACTTTTCAAGTTAAGAAACACCAGCAGCAAGCAAGCAATCTTTGCCTCAGAGCTTTTGCCACACACAAAGCATCATATCAGACACCTCCCACCCTGCTTATTCTGCTCTCTCTGCTTCCATCTGTAAATTGTTCCTGGAGCATTATATCTTACACTAACTGTCTCCGTAAGCGTTTCTTTTCACAGCTAACTCAAACTTTCTCTGCCATGTTTCTTTGGTTTGATTAGTTTGTTTGTCAGCAGGGTTACAGTAAAAACTACTGGCCAGATTAACATGACATTTTTTGAAGGAGGAACCGTCGGCTTAAAAAATTATAACCTTTTGGCCCAAATCAAGGGAAAGATACATTTATTATTAAGCGTATATATTGGTCACCTCTGTGCTCTCCGAGTGCACTAAATCAATGTAATTTTCCATTTCTTAAATGACAATCTAAAGTTAAAATGTTCCACTTGTTGACTTTGAATAAATAATATATTTTTCTATTTGTCGCATGGCAACATTTTCAACTATGAGATCTTCCTGAAGCGGTAAAGATAGCCTGATAGAGGAAGCCTGAGGAAGACTTTGTAGATTGAAACATTCCTATGCATGAAAACAAAAAAATGTATTCTGAGTGTTAACATGTAACATTGCACAGTTTTTGCCTCAATGTGCGCAAAGTTGTATTTCTCATTCCTTGTCTTTGATAAAATTACCTTGCATTTGTGGAGTTCTTCTCTGAGCTTTAGTATGGTGACATTGTGGTGTTGATCTCCATTCCCCTCTGGCATGTCCTTCTCCTCAGCTTGATGTGAGTGATTGACAGCTGTCAGTCTCTTCTGCCAATCCTGCAGCCGCTGTGTAAAAGAATGACTATGGGTGGGGCCAGAGATATCTGCCAACAAGGCAGCAGCTTCCTGAGCCAGAAGGCGGTACTGTGATGTTTCCTCTTGGTTCCCGTTGCTATCTGGATCAGGTATGCTCATCTGATTGAAGCTGTCCCCCTCTCCAGTTTTCCCAGATGTCCTCTCCATCTCCCTCTCCTTCTCTTTCAGTAGCTCTCTCAGTGTTTGAACTTCATACTCCAGCTCGCCCAGTCGAGCCTCACCTGGGTCCCATGGGGTAGTTCCTGATTTAACCTCTGTTGGAGTGGTTCCGGGATGATTACGAATGTGACGAGCCTTGGATGCAAACTGCAGGACACTCAGGGTCTCGGCTACACTGTGGTGAGAGGGGCTCACACACGCCACCACCAGCGTGTGGGCGGTGCCTCCCAACGAGTCCCGGAGGAGGCGTGTGATCTTGGCGTCACGGTACGGTATGTGGACACTGCGATTTCTCCCAGGGTCCGAGAGGGCGCGGATGACGTTGCCGAGGGCGAGCAGGCCTGTGTTGATATGAACACTCTCTTTGAGTCGTGTCCCGGTGTTTCCAGTTTTTCCAGCACGCTCCGAGCCTGCTAGGTCAACCAGACAGAGTTTGGAGGAGCGGACAGACTTTAAGGAGGAGTTGTTGCTGTGGCAACACTGGATGAGCTGGAGGGTGAGGATGGTGTGGGAGCGGCTGGAGTGCTCGTTCATTCCTGTGGTGCCCGTGTGGCGCAGGGCATTCCCCGTCTCTATAACACTTAGGAGCTCCTCTGCTGAGGTGACCACCATCTCTTTGGCTCCCACCACCACTGGAGACACAAACAAGGGTATTTGTTAAGGAAACACTCAGTTGAAACATGACTTTCCCCAGTTGGCAGTAATCCATAGTACAAACTGAATGACTGAAGTCCAAACCAATAGCAAACTTGGCATGTGATGCCTGAAAGTACAGGTTTCATGTTTTTATTTAGGAAATACTCAATGTGAGATTAAAAAATATATACATTTTTGGCACATTTTCTTGGCTGTCAAAAATACTTTTGATTTACCTGTGTTTCCTCTCTCATCCTCTCTGATATGAAGTTCTTTGTGGATGGTGTGCAGCTCCAGCAGGTCTCGTAGTTCTTCCTTGTACAGCTCCATGTATGACACCCCCACTTTGACTTCCCCACCATCACTGTTCTTCCTCTTCTCCTCCATCAACAAGAACACATCCTGGGCCACACGGTCAATAATTCCTCCCTCTTCACCTGAGAGAGGTTTTACAAGAAAATAAATGAATAGTCAAGAAGACCAGAGACACATAAATAAAGACCTTTTAGGGCAGTAAATTAGGGAACAGGAAATCTTGCTTCGGTCTTGAGATGTCTTTAATTCCTTTACCACAAGATCTGAAGTCTTGGTCTGCAAACAAAATCATTCTCTAAAACTCAACTGACTGAAATGATTGAGTGACATGTTCAAAGACTACATGTGTAACTGTTCACACCTAGCTTACAAAGGTGAGCTTGAACATACAGTCCTGATACTCCCAATTTATCCTCACAATGAACAAACTCCAGAACTCAAAAACAATGTTTTTTCTAAGTTTAAAGATAAAAAATGCTGCTCACACCTGTTATTGTCTAAAATAATCAGCATATCTGTTGAGCTAAACCATCCTCTGGATCTGTTTGAACCTACCTCTGGGGACTACATCTACCACCTGCCCAACTTACTCAGGTTTCCCCCTCCTATTGTGTACGTCTTCCCTGAGCCGGTTTGACCGTAGCAGAACACGGTGGCGTTGTATCCGTCCAGCAGGGACTCCACCAGCGGCTGGACGCAGGACTCGTGCACCTCGTCCTGGCTGGCTGTGGGTCCAAACGCGTGGTCGAAGGAGAAGAGTCTGTCCGAGCCCAGCATCACCTGAGCGGAGTCCGGCACCACCCGCACACACACCTGGTGGTGGTGGAGGACTTCTCTTGGGAGCAGGGGCCGGACCCGGAGCGCCACCCGGACACACACCTCGTTCATCCCGCTAAAGTTTACTCACAATTATTACCGATAATGAATTCTGCTGAAAGTTGTTTTTCTTCTTGAGCTCTTATCGGATACGAAATCGAGTATAGTCAATGGTCTACATTTTAGCAGAAAGTCCTCGTCCTCGCCTGGCTTGTTGTTAACTTTGTGACATCTACCGTTTGTTGTCGCTCCTTGGTTGCCCGGGAAACTGCCGCCGCGGTGCAGCAGCAGTCGAGGAGAGCAGGAGAGGCGTTCAAGAGCCTGCATGGAGGAGGACCGAGGGGTGCGTGAAGGCAACAGCGCCACCAACGACATGTATCGGCATGTCTTTTTTTTGTTGTTGCTGTAATTTCCTTTGGGTCTTTATTCTCTTGAATATGACATATTTAACTTTCGACTGTGCAATAAAAAAAGAATTAGAACGTTTTATTATTTATTAATTTACAGTGACTTGACTTGATCAGTGCGAGATATGTTATATTCTAGATTGTATAAAAAAAGAGAAGAGGTATGATCAAAATAAATTAAAGACATGTTAATAGTATTGACAAAACGAATGAGCCATTCAACTATTAATAACGTAAAAAATATGTTGGTCATAGGTAGAATATGAGAATATAAATAAGTTTGCTACATATATGAATGACATTTGAGGTAGGCCTACTGTGTACCATTGGCCATTTTTGTTGTTGCAGTGAAGTGACAAACAAAATCTAATTAAAACGTTTTATTTTCAATGTTTTCCCAGTGTCAAAAATCCAAGCTGCTGTAGATTGGACAATGTGTCCATAATTGTATGTTCACATACAGTATATTATCACTTACTGTAATAACCGAGCAGTTTTTCAGACATCAACAACAGTAAACATTTTTAATTGACTGTGAATGGACAACTGCCACTACCCACACACACCAATGAGCTACATTAAAGCTTGACACCGGTTTCCATTACAGCTGGAGAGAAGCCCATTTGTACATATATCTGGCACAGAGACAGGATTGGCTTTCTCCCAGGGAAAGGTAACGATGCCAAGGCTGCACACAGAGCGCAGCCTTCTGTATGTAATGCTGCCAACCAGCTCGTCAGTAGTAAATACAGCGTGTGTGGTGTATGGGAATGTAAGCCATCTCTTTGTGGTGCTTCTTGGCATAAGGCCACAGGTAAAAGTCAATGACTGCCGAGTTTACGTTGCAGGTCTGTCCGTCTCTCTCTTTCACCAGCTTACACAGACGCTCTTTGATCAGCTCCACAGACCAAATTGAACAACCTCGGATTTCAACCTCTCTTCTGTCCCCTGAACTCAGCAGTTCTCCTGAGGGAAATGGGAGACAAACACATAACACAGAGATATAATACTTGACTAATCCTAAATTATTCATTTCTTTATGGACAGAGAAACACATGCACTCCTGTCTCACCCTTGTTCAGCGCCTGCATCAGTGTGTCAGTGTATCGTAGTGCTCCAAGGAAGACGAGAGCCTGAGGGACCCTGTAGTCTGCAAACATGGTGAGCCAGTCCATGTTGATGATGTCCCCCTCTCCTCTGGCCTCCATGACGCCCCAGAAATCTGCCACCAGGATCTGGGCTCGCTTGTACAAAGAGATTCTCTTCCCCTGAAACAAACAATTCGAAAGCTTTCGATTATGTGTATTTGGCTATTTAAAATGTGCTTATGCAAAGACAATATCATTGCAACAATGCATGGAGTATAATTTGCGTCTGTGTACAAAAAGAGAAATGAAAATGCCCTGGTGTCAAAAACATTACATTTGGAAAAAAAGAATCATTCTACAGCAATTACATCTGTTTGTTTAAACTATACTTCTACTCTTATTTAATATGTGACAGTGTTTATCACTATTATACATTTGCAAGTCTTTTGAGTGTTTCTTTGTATAAGCCATTACAGGTTTCTACCTCACTTATAAACACACTTTATATGTATTTCATTTGATTGTATTTAATGTTTGTATGTGTAGGAAATAGATGACAGAAAATGTGGTCCTTTATTATTGCCACACTGTCTTTGGCCAGAAGGTGGAACTCTCACCTCACAAATTATCTTAAGTTATCCAAATGCATACATTTATCTCAGATCACATACATACGATTTATATATGCTATAAAGATGTTTTATACATTTTGTGTATTTTTAAAAGGCCATTTATTCAAAGGGTTTACACAGATGTAAATTAAAATAATTCAACATACAATAAATTCTAACGATAATGTAATGCATGCCATGGCATTGACAAAATTAAACACCTCAGTTGTCAAAGATAACAAATTGTATGTTTGTAAATGGACATCTATCTAACAAGAGATTATGATGTAATGACTCAAATTGATTACGACACCTGAGATGTAGCTGATGATTTGTCATGTCTTGTCTCTTAACTACTTATAAGTAGTTATATAAAATATCTAAGATTGTTTTAGGAAACCTAAAGCTGGCAAACATAAACTTTTATCCACAGATTTCCAAACCTGAAATATTGCTAAATGTTGGCTGTGAAAGCCCTCTCTAACTCTAACCTCAAAAGTAGCTTCGTCTCTGTAGGAATGGATCTTCTCCACGATGAGTTCCACCATCTTCCGGGCGTCGTTCCCGGCTCGGCTGATAAAACTCCGGAAGCTTCCGCCGTGTTCCAGCAGCACGCGGCCGCCTTCAGTCAGCACCTTGTTAGTCAGATTCAAATTCATGTTTAAATTTAACTATTACGATAAGTGGGAGGTTGAGAGCTGCATGCTTTTCATTTCTATTTGTCATACAGGGAATACATTTCAGCTAATAATGTAACCCACATCATAGTACCCTTGATATTGGACAAGTATGATAAGGCAAGAACCTGGTGGCGTTCCTGAAGCATGGGCATGGGTGTTTCATTGTCTGATCGAAGGACCTGTCCCAACTCCTCCATACTCATCTGAGAAAAGTACTTTGGATCAGTGATGGGTATACCTGTGGACAGGGGTGGAGAAAAGGATTAGAACTATCATGGAGTAAAAATACTCCCTTTCAAGTAATCATCCTGAAATAAAAAATGTCCCGAAGGAATATCAGCAAAATTAAAGTAAAGTATTCATTACGCAGAATGGCACTTATCATATTCTCTGATATTCCGTTTGAATCATTAACAAATACATGTAAGATCATTTCAATGTTATAGTTTGTCAGTGGAACCAATTTCAGATGCTTATGCTACAGAGTAAGTTATAGTACCGCATCTGAAAAGCATATCAGATACAGCACAATTTGTATCAGCAAAGTGTTTAGCAAATCAAGCTGTCAGAAAAATGGAGAGGAGTAGAAATGATACTGTTAAAAAGAAAAATGGCAAAACTCAATGAAAGAAGACACTTTAGCTACTAAGTTATGAAGATATGGTGTCCTATAATGACAGCAATATAGCTCCACAGCATCCAATTCTCACAAGACCCTCAAAAGACATAATTAGTTCTGAACTCATGCTGTCTCCCGCTGAGATTCACACTTTACAAAGCTTCCTGAGCTTTTCTGAGAGAATCTCTTGGAATTATAAGGGCCACAGCGACCACACATTGAGAGCACTATTCCATATGAGACATAATTGATTCATATCCGGAGTCATTCACGCTAATTATGATTGATGCACAGGCAGAGCTACAAGCAATTTCCCAGCAGCCCTAGTTCAAGTAAAGGGTACATATACAATAATTGGTAATAGCAGTGCACAACAAAAGCACACAGAAAAAAATACATAAAAGAGGGCTTCAATATTTTCTTTTGATAGGTGAAGCTGCAAACAAACAAAAACATATTTGTCATGTAACATTGTTAGAGAAGGGGCTCACCTCCTATTCAGCTTCCTGACATTTCTATCACCTAGAGTGCTTTTTGAAGTATAATGAGGATTTTTTCGTGCTGATTCAATGAATCCTACACAAATGTTGCCCACTATAGTAACAGCTACTTAATGATGAATCGCTTCAACTTTGCACTTTGAGAAAGGAGGACAATACGTGTTATTTTAAACATAATTAAAATGCTGTTATAACTTTCATTCAACCAAAAAAATTAAACAAATTCACCTTCCTCCATAGCCCTGGCGATGGCAGCACAAAGGGTCATGTAGCCTGTGTACGTGGTCCCTTTATAGGTTACCTCACACTGTTGAGTTTCTTCCTCGGGCCAAAAGGAGAAGTTCATGGTGTCTATCACAAACACCCAGTTCAAGGCCTGCAATGTTAAAAACACAATATATCAAAAGAGCTGGAAAAAGCTAAAGGCCAAGCAAGCAGGCAGTCGCTGTACAAAATAACAATACATAAAAGATCCCAAATGTCCTTTAAAATATTTCTATGCTTTGAAAGCATTCATTTTGTAAGGATATACTTTTCCATCATGGGACGTGTGTAGACACAGATGGTTTTCATAACGGCCTCTTATTCATGCATGGTCATTATTAAATTAGGATAAATAGAATTCTGGCTTCAGATTGCTGAATCCCCAGCAACACCTACATTTGTTCAGGGATAGGAATAGTGTAACTGAAGTGAAATTCATGCAGTGGTGGAGGACCGATCCTTTACTTAGATGAAAGTAGATATCATTAAAATACTCCTTTACAAGTATAAGTACTATAATAAATATTACTTATTATCAGCATAATAAAACCCGTATCACCTGTCACTTTACAAATGCAGTAATAATAATAAATTAAATTGTTATAGCGCTTTTCTCGGACTCAAAGACGCTTTACAGTGTGAGGGAAGGTAGACAAACAAGGACAGGCAAAAACAAACAAAAACAACAAAACAAAACAACAGTAATACTGTTCCCACCAATCCAAATGTTTTAAGGTACCATGTGATTCATTCTAATGTCAACTAATAATCTATTATCTAGGGGCCCGGCTGTTGAGACTCCCCTGGTCAGAGGTGGGTACTGGAGCCAATGGATTGGCCTTCTTCCAACCACTGGCAGTCAGATCGTCAGTGTGGCGCAGGTTGAAGAGCATCTCGGCCACCTTCTGCACTCCTTCCTCCTCCACGAACACATCCCGACTCCGCTCTGCTATGAACTGTCCAGACTCACGGGGAAACAGAGGGGGCTCCATGACAGAAACTGTACTACTGTGTGTAGAAAAAAACATGGGAGACACACATACATAATTGTATAAATGTAAACACATTCCCCAGATCTTCCATAAATGAGAAGACTATAAAACAGGGGTGGGGAACCTCCGGCCCCCGGTCCGTATACGGCCCGCGAGACAATTTGATACGGCCCTCGAGGTAACACACGCAAAAAAGAAAACAAATTAAGAAATCTAGACCGCAAAATAATTAAACAAGCGAGTGCCTGTTTTTCCTGGCCAAGGTCAGGGTCCTTGAACACAACACGAGCCTAACGTGTCATCACGTGGTATATGTCTCGTCCGACAGGGGTTTAGAGCTGCCGGAGAGCAGAGCACCAGAACGCCGCTCCGGGCCGGGACTTCACAAATGTCAGTACCCATAAGGAGCCGTACACATGCCGCAGTTTTTGCGTGGCTGTGTCTTTAGTTGAAAGTTCATCTGTCATAGTGATCATACAGTCAATAACTTTGTTGTTATTAGCATCTGGTTAGCTAGATATGCTAACGAATATAAGAAGCTTTTTCTCCAACCAGTGAGGTAAAGGCACATCTTTATATGATCATTATAGTTATAAAAAAATAAGAGAATACAGTAAACGGGTATAAAATACTATATGACAGTAAAAAAAAGTTGTTATTAATAAACAAGAATACAGTTTGAAAGGGGAGTGATTTGTAAAATATCCATAAAGAAAAAGAAAATCTGCTTCCAGTTCTGTTTCATATGGGTGTTGAGAGATGTATCCATAGATCTCCTAGTGTTGCTCTCAAAGTGCACCAGATTTATGCTTTTAACTTCAATATTTAAAAAAAAATCTTCCCGGGGGAGCATGCCCCCGGACCCCCCTAGAGGAGGTTAGGTCCCCCCCCACTTAAATCATGTTCACATGGATCGGATACTAAATTGCACACATCTTGTGTAAATCATGGTAAAATATCTGGATTAAGAGGTTGCTTTTTCTTTGCACAGCATGAAAGAAAGGCCAAATGAATGGGCTCTGATTTTAGTATTTTTAAGCAGACGTCAATAATTTGTACGGCCCTCGGAGGATGTTGGAAAAATTGAAATAGCCCTTGAGAGGAAAAAGGTTCCCCACCCCTGCTATAAAATAATGATCTTTTTTGACACATAAAACACCTGTTTGCTAGAAAAGTGCACGAATAATTCGAATCAAACACATTACAGACTTCAGTAGGAACTTCTAAGAGCTTGCATGGGTGGTGCAGGGGGAGATGTGAATGCCAGTGCCCTTTTTATACGGAAGCACCAATATCCTACATCCCGGGGGAAGTGCCATTTTCAAAAAAATCTCCCAACTTTATTAAATAATTCACTGTGAAATACAAGATTGAATGTGCAACAACCAGTCGATTCATCATTTAATCAATCAGCCTTATACATTTTGAAATTTCATTCCTTTCTCTGTTTTTGGAGATGGGACAAAACAAGAGCAGTTATTTTGTAATAGTCAGTGCTGTTTTTTAATCTCCCTTTACATGTTTTTTTGGGGACTTTATTCTCATGTAGGCACTGTTGAATTAAGCAGAGCGCACAAAACATAAAAGCCCAGCACACAGGACCAACCCCATTATTAAGACCAAATAACATCCTTCACTCTCTCAACCTTTAAAAGCTGAATTGTTCTTTTCCAATGTCCAATGTCTGCTCTGTTAATGTTTCCCTTTCAGACTGATATAACAGTGGCCTCCTGAGTAAAATCCATGTTCACTGCTCTTTCAGTTGAGAGTCACATTACACTCTCATAACTCAAATAACCAAATTGTGTGATGTTTCTTCATGTAAAAACTCTTGACGTGGTTAATTAGATAACTGAACGACTCGAGCAAAGTGCATCGGGAGTAACTGACAGTAAACTTGTCACCACGACCACAGACACTACGCAGATTTCACTCCGTGGATTGTTTTTTCGACCAAGACGACAATTAATGTGATTCATCATTCATGACATGTTTTAACTTAACTTACCGATGAATGCAGTGAATTAAAGTACTATACCGCAAGCCCGTGTTGTGTCGAGTTTCCACTACCGTGTTTGAAGCTCTTAACCAATCAGAGCTTCCGTTATGACTTCATCACAGACTGATAAACCAATCATAGGCGGCCAACAGCTGGACACGACACGCCCACCTGACACGACACTACGGTGGCTGAGAGACATTTGATACCGTACATGGCAGAAAGTCAACTGAAAAAAAGATCGGTGACCATTTTTTTATAGAATAAATGAAATACATATGTAGATTTGTCAAACATTTGCAGATTCCAGCGTAAAGTGCTGCCACTGGTTTTTCTGATATATGTTTTTTGTAAATCACTTTGTCCAAAACATTTTTATAGAGATAAACAGATAATAAAAATGATTGATAGTCGTAGTTTTAAGTTCAAACACAAATGCAACTCTCGCCTATTACAACCACATACGTTTTTAGCTGTTAAGCCATCTGTGCACAGAAAACTGATACAGCTGGAATGATTTTGCACAAACAAGATTAATAAGAAAGCTCATTACAAATGCAAATTGGTTGAGTAAAAAGTGGCACCTTCTTTATTCATTTTACAATTAAACAATGTGAAGTCTAGAGCATGGACAGCAAACAAGCGTAGAGCACAGGAAATTGCAGGGACAAAATAGATACGTTCAATATCATTTGTCAATTCTTTAATAAAATGTCAAAACAAATTCTAGCCACAAGTTTCCTTTTTGAGGAGCTAGTCCAATTATTCAGATTTGTTTCATCACACAACTACCATGTATTTTATTACAAATGAGTCAAGACTGTCCTGTATCTTGTGACAAGAGTCACATCTCTAAAAAAAACAGAACAAATGGTTCAGTTTGGGAAAAAACAGGATCTTACATTCTGCAGGTTTCACAGAGTAGTAATGTGATACAACTGTGGGTGAAGTGACCGATATAGACAGGAGAAAGCACACCCAACCTACACACGCAAGCATGCGTGCACACACACAGAACAGATTTATACCAGACACAAACATACATATACATGTCAGAGAGTTCAAAAACATCCACAAATAAAAAGTTATGTTCATTTTTTGTCTGTCAGGAGACTGAAGAATATTTGTGATAGTTGTGTGTTAGAAGAAAAAAATCAAACTGTATCTGTTAAACTAATGGACTATACTATTAAAATGCAGAACATCTACATTTTCTTTTATGCACAGGAATGTTGGACATTTATTTCATTAAAAAATATAAAAATAAAATTCAAAAAAGACACCCACAATCCAGCATAATAGTCTGAAGGGGTTGGACAGGGGCAGAAAGGTTGAGGGGGGGGGGGGGAGGGGGCAATCTGAGTCTGCTTCAATCTGAGTCTCCTGGGTCTACAGCAAATGACCAGAGTACTGCTTCACACTGAAATAAAAAGAGTGGAAAAATAAATAAAATACACAAGAAGTAAATTGCAATTCACAGGTTGATGACAGTGTAAATATATAGCTATATAGGATGAAGTCTCGGGAGGAAACGGATGGGGAGGCGGAGCAGGGGGGAGACAGACTGCGGGTGAGAAAGACAGGCAGGGAGGAAGACGGGCGGGGAGATGTGAAATACGTGGCTGACGGTGAGCGAGAAAGAGGAGGAAAAAGAGGGGTGTGGTTAGTCCTTGTGTCCAAGCAGCACACTGAAGAGGGAGGGGAGGAAGGAAGAGGGAGGCAGGGTTAGTTACCATGGCAACACTACACTACTCATAAGACAGCGGCGGCAGGTCTACAGCTGTATTAGCATTCGGGCTAAGCTTGGATAGCATCAACAAGGAAGTGGTGTGTATTATACGTGCCTACTGGTTGCCAAGGGAGACAGAAGAGGAGGAGCCCGTGCTATTTGGCAGACTGTGATTTGTTGTTGGTTGATCTAACTAAAAACAACAAAATCACTAGTCTTCCACACAGCAGCAGCCAGGGGAAGAATCAATCCACTCCCTGCTTCACATTGAAACGGCTTTGATGGCAAACAAACATACTGTTGTTTAATTTTATCGTATCCATTCAATTCAATGGACAAATGCAACAGAAACATGTCCATCACATTTACCCTTTTAAAGAAATAAATGAAATATGTACAATTGAGTTTGCCAACTCATTCACAGCCATTTCATGCAAGAGGCAGGTTTGAACTAGTTGCAGGTTGCATGGGAAAGAAAGGAAGGGGGTTAGTGGAGAAGAGACAGCAGGCAACATAAATGCATAACCCAACGAAATGTGGGTTAACTAGTATTGCAATTCAATTTTTAGAAAAAAAACATTTATGCATTCTCAATATTAATCACAAATATATTTTTTATAGATTGTTATTTTTAAAGAAGTTAAGAGGGTAAAGAGAGAAATCATCCTTAACATATCAATAGTTAATTTCAGCAGAAAGAGGAAGGCTGCACTTCCTAAGATGGGTTGTATCCCCTAACTTCTTACGATGCAACCCAACAGGTGTGAGCTCAGGACTGATTTAGACCCCACAGGACAATGTTAGAGGTTTTGAAAAGATTGCGCTTGTTGATCTAAGACTGGGGTGCTAATCAGGAATTTCTACCTCTAATAAGACGGATGTCAATGTAATCCATACGGCTGTGTCAGAACTTGCCTGTTCTGAAGAAGGTACTGAGCATTCTGGATCTGATCCTGGGTGCCAGTAATGGTGATTATTCTGTCCTCAGAGCCTTCCAGAGGCTCATCGATCTTGATGGAGGCTCCTGACTCATGGCGGATCTGTTTGATCCGCTGGCCTCCCTTACCAATGATAGAGCCAGCCAGCTGTTGGGGCGGAGGGGAGAAGAGAGTGTGTGAGGCACTGGGATGTGGTTCTACTGTGTAAATGTGAAACAATGAATAATAAAACATCTCAAATTATTTTTGTTAATTACACTGAAGGATTAGTAAATATGAGGCAGATAACAGGACTAATGGGGCCATGTGATGCACAAATAATTGGCTATGAAATAAATGACTACATGTAAATGATATGAGGATAATGAGAGAGCACAGATAACATGATCACATGAGACAGTGTAGAGTTTTTACTCCGTGTGCCAATTTGATGCGTTTATTTACTCACATCTTTTGGGATCGTCACTTGTGTGGTAATGACGGGGCCACCCATTTCATTATAGGAGCCACGTCCACCTGATGGCAAGAGGGAGGAGGGGTGAGGACCAAAGCACACACACAGGAAAAAGAGGGGTGTAGAAACAGAGGGAAAGTAAAAAGTGCACTAAAAATCAATGCTCGGCTGCCAGCATTATGGCTCAGCGATTGATAGGAAAGAGACTCACCTGACTGGTAGCTATCCCATGATGAACTGTTGTCTGAGCAGAAGATAAAGCATTAAGAACATTAACTCAGTATAAACATTACGGTTTTTTTCTTTCTGGGAAATGTGTAAACAAATAACCCATATCAAGAGTAAGATGTTGCTCACAATACATTTTCAAAGATCTTTCAAGAAAACTGCTAAATAATTAGCTCTCTGGCGTGCAATGTAAACAGCAACACTTTAGGTCAAATGTCATTTAACTGAAGTTAAAATACCAATATTTTGACAGTCCAATAGCCACGATGACCTAGTGTGAGCTGCAATGTCCTTCTAGCTATGTGGTCACTGTAAGGCTTTTGTTATTTTCTCTATGAAAACAACATTCAGACAAAATAGACACTACAATACAAATTGAAAATAAAATAATTTGCAGCATACTAAGATGCATTAAAAACCTTGAACCCACATTGATATAACGACAGAATAAACACGAGGCTTAGTACTCACCATATCCTCCTCCACTCTGTGAAAAACAAAAGCAAACACGAACATGTTACATTCTGTATAGTCAACTCTTTCACCTTTTTACAGATCCCAGATGAATGGAGGATTGTAAGCACAAATGTGGATGATGCAGCATCCTCGTCCATGGAGTAGACTCAACTAAAAGCCAACCAGTTTTCATCCATAACTCCTCCTCCTTCCCTCCCTCCCAGTCTCTCCATCAGCCCCCATTTTCACCTGCTATTCAGCTGCTGCTATCACCAAGGCAACAGGCAATTCAAGAAGCTGTTGCCGAGCAACGGCAGGCAGTATCCTGCCAGCTCTCAGAGGCAGAAAGCGAGAGAGCGGGAGAGAGACCTTCCAGTCTGTCAACAAAGCGTTATTATTGCCTAGAAACCAACCATAGCCACCCCCACCCCCAACATCCTCCCTCTCTTTGCAGGAAAAACAGGCTGGCCGTGAAAAGTACACAGTAAGAGGGCAATTATGGCTGATTTTTACAGGGTCTCTCCGGCTGTAGTGATTATGGTCATTTGGTGGGATGTCTTACACCATGCAAAAACTAGCTTGGATAAATGGCCGGGGTCAGATTGAGTGTGTGCTCTTGGATATAGGGACTAGCTATGGGTGTATTGTCAATAAACCACTATTATGATTACAACACAAAGGACAATCACAGCATATTGTCTGGTTGTAGGAACAACCAGTGTCCAAGCTTGAGGACGCTGGCGCCTAAATGAGATGCTAGAACCAGAGCTGCATGCATTTAGCAAAGGGTCACTAACCATGTTATCACTGTAGCGATCCGGTCTGCCTCTTCTGTCACTGTTGATGAAAGAGTGTCATAGAGGGAGGGAGTGGGGGCAGAGAGACAGAGAAAGACAGAGAGAGATGGGGGGGGGTTGGTTGGAAAGAAACAGAAAAATGATTAGAAAAAAAGCTTGACAACCTTCCAAAGGAAATGTCTGGTCTAGGTCAAACTGCACACACACGCTGAGCAAGATTACAGTATAAACACATTTCCTCTCAGCAATCTTCCCACACAGTAACAGGAACAGCTCTGACAGTGTTATGGTGAGAGAAGTGACAGGTGGTGGTGGTGATGATGATCACAGCCAAGGGCTGCTGCTGCTTTTTCCCCGCTATTGCGGAGCTCAAATTAGGGAATTAGCTGAGGAAATGTGTTCAGATTTATTTTGTAGTCTTGCTGTAGCTAAGAAGATACATGCGTGGATGTACTTTCATGTCTAACTATGGACTCAACATAACTTCATGTTGGGTGATGCTTTAACAGTATTTGGCTGCGTTTGCGCCGAATTAGGCGTTGCCGAGTGTCAGATAAATGAGTGACTACTATGTGAAACATAACGTCGCTTGGTAAATAGCACAATGTTAAAATGGGAGGAATAGTGTTTTCTGCTGATTTGGTTTCAGCCCAACCAATTTTCTATTACACATTGGTGTCCTTAGCTACGATGACTCAAAATACATGACGGAAATAAACCCATTATAATCTAGTGTCTTACAAGCATGAACAGTTGTTTTTGTTTTATATCAATTTGATCCTATTCCTCTAAATGTGGATAGTAGACACTAAACCAAGGCCAGGTAAGGATGGTATTATTCTTGTTTCGGGGAGTGGAGAGCTTCATGTAGAAAAATGACTTCTCTATAATTAAGTCTCGTTGTGAAAGCATGCCTTTTTGCAGGGGACTCTTGCTTCACATCTATATGTCAGCTTCACATTAGCACATGACCTTCACACACCACCACAAGTACTTTTTCTCAACCTGGGAAAAACTGGGAAGGGATAGCCGAGTGGATGAGTTATTAACACAGAAAAGAGGAGGTCATACAACATCACTGCAGTTGCCTGCAAAGCACTGGAGTGAACAGGTGGATGGGGATCGGGGTATGGGTCTGATGCAGGCTAGAACACTACAGGCAAACAGACAGGAGAACCACAGATGTTTGTAGGGCCATAATTAGTACCGAGAGTAAGTGATGACAGGCAGGATTGAGTGTTATTTCCTCATGAGCTATGATAGGAAGGGGATAACCAGGCATATTCAACAAAATGCAACAATAAAGTAAAAAGGAAGAAAACATATGGGTCATTTAGGAATACCTCAACACTTGCAACTTGAATTGTAATCATTATTGTAAGGTATTTGTGAATGGAAAAATGCTGTACCCATGTTAGCGTTAGTAAATTACTTTTTGCTCACAAGACAAAAGGGTGAAATAATACTCTATAGGAAGCAACACCCAATGGTATTTATGAGAAATATTTGCTTCAGTAAATGACCATTTCAGGACCTACCGCTATTTTGCAACAAACAAATGACAGAATATCGAAATGTCAAAGTATCCCTTTTCAGGTAAATAAGGAGGTTGAAGCAAAGGTTTGTGGACAGAGACTTACTTTGACCTGTCATCAGAGCCACGGTACGAGTCATAGTAACGTTCTTCTCTGTGGACAAGATGGAGATGGGAAAAACACACCCAGACACACAGTGATGAGCACATACAATTAATGGAATGATAACCATGATACAAATGTTTCTAGAGGGGTAGTTTGACTCTCGATAACATGCAGAATACTGGAATCATTTTATCCTCTGAATTAGAAGCTGTGGACAGTGCCCCTGAATGAAAAATAAGAACCTGAAGAAGGATTTAGCTTTTATATTCAGATGCAGGAGGCACCATAAGAAGAAAAGGATTATTTTAAACATCAAAGGACCATGGGGAGGGGATCATGCAGTTACTTGGAACTTAAGTGTTTAGTCAAATAAATAGGTTGTACAAGATTGTATATCTATTATTATCTGACATAAAATATGACCATGTGCAATGAGAGATTTATCTTTAAGTTTGACAAACTAATTTGATTAAGTGGAATCGCTTTGGTTGGTGCATAGATCACAGACAAAGCGAAGTATGAAAACAACAGAGAGCAGCAAAAGACTTCTGATGTCTTACCCTCCTCTGTGTGGGTGTCCCATGGGCATGTTGCGTCCACGGCCACTTCCCCTGCCAACCCTACTGGGGTGGGGGGGTGGTGGTGGTCCTCGGCGAGGGCTCATCTCCTCGTAGTCTCGGCGGGCGGGAGGCATGGGTCCACGTCCACCTCTGCTAGAGGGCATTCGGTCAAATCCACGGTCTCCACCGCTGGATCTGCCCCCCCGCATGGGGAACCCCCCTATGAGCCTACGACCGCCGCCCCTCTCTTCAAACACCACGGTGAAACCGCCATATTCATATGTTTCGTCGTAGAAGTTGGGGTCGTAGGGCTGTGCACGGCCCTTTATGGGAGCCTAAAGGACAAAGCGAGATCCACTAATTGGAATGTACAATAATAACGGTGTGATGAGATGCATCTCTTAACGCCTATACTATTATTCCTAACCAGAAACTACAATTGAATTAAATGTTCTGTTGCCTCTGCAACTAAAATATTAATTAAAAATGTATCAGTCGAGCATCACATGTTGATTAACGGTTTGCTTATAAATTCAAGGGTCCAACACTAGGCTACATTTGACTTATCCAACCACAAAGAATGATTCAATATGTCACAATTCTTCAATGCATACAAATAACAAAAAGGTCTCCGCCACGTTAAAAGACACATACCTCAGCAATGAGCTCCAGCATGGTCTTGATACACTCCACCACTCTCTCTGTTTTACCGCCGACCAGCACCACCCGGTCTGTCGACTGAGGACAACACTCCTGAAACAGCTTGATGCTGGTCTTTGTGTTCTGCCGAGACACAGATACAGCCACACATTGGGGTCACAGAAAAAGCCTCAACACTATACGGCTTTATGTTATGGTTATTTTAACATCATTCAAATATGTAAAGTAATAAAAAACAAGGAAACAAACGATTAAGAGAAGAAAAAATCCTTTCTATAAAAATCTATTCATTATTTTCTTGATACAATTGAAAAGCTGGCATCAATAATGCTGTCCATAACCCACACATTCAGCCTGTAATGGGCTTTGCAATTTATTTATTTGTGAAACATTGCTCCTTTTTATCAACATACCTCTCTGAGCTCCTTGATCTTGGCTCCCTTCACTCCAATGATGGAGCCAGCCAGGCTCTGGTGGATCAACAGGCGTAGCTCGCAGTCGAAATCCATCCCATTGTACTGCTGGTACTGAGCAGAACGTTTAGCATGTTAATTGTTGGGTACAATTAATCACATACTCAAAGTTCCTTAGAGTTATAAAAAGGAGGCATATAATGGCAAGGTAATTTATAGAAGATTAAAATAAGAAGGTATTACCATTCTTTATATAATTTGAGAAAAAACCCTTATGGTGACAGAAAATCTTGGAATTGTTTTTAAAAAAATGTCATTTTAAGCCTTCATGTATTTTATTTCTGTCCAACAATAATTGCAGATACAGCACGTGGCAACAGTGTTATTGCCAGCATTTAAATTAGCGCAGTCCATCCCAACTAAACCACTTATCTGCACGTGAAAATAGAGGTTAAAAATGTCCAACCGACAAAACTGCTACAGTAAAATGTAAAAAAAGTATTACATTTGAACTAGAAAAGCATCTCTGTAACACAAAGGACATTTAAAAAGGCATACCTTTGTGATCATTGTAAATATCCAAATTTGTTTTCACTTCCAAATAAAAAGGTTACGTTTATTAGGTTGAATAGGACACGAGCAGAGAAAACAAGTTCAACCAGTCCTCACCTCTTCCAGTGTCGGGATAATCTTAAGCAGGATTTCTCCAACTGTATCGATGTCGGCACTGATGCTCAGGATGCTTCAGAATTCACAGCAAGGACGGGATTGGGGGTGCCAGCAAGACATCCCAGGGGGGAGGGAACAACATTTCAGATTAGAGAATTCGTGTCAACCCTTTTTTGCAATAATAATTAATGACACCCGATTTAACCAACTCATTACTGAGACTAACACCGCTAAATGAACTGTTGAGATCCAGTGTATTCTAAATATTTCAAGGTCACTGTAACTGAATTAAAGCTTGTATCCCAAATAATGTTTGTCCAGAGAAAAGAAGAAAAAAGGCTAAATAAAAAGGGACCCAAAGAAAAGTGACTGCATTTGGTGACCAAGACGTGGGAGGGGGAAGTCTGAGGAGGATCTGGCAGGAAAAGCACCAAAGGTGCTAGAAAGAACTCTAAAGTCCTAAAGCACAGTTTGGTGGATGCACACCACAAATTGTTTGACTAGAAAAACCTACAATAAGGTGCCAAACACAACTTGGAGAGATCGTGACGACAGGGACCAAAAGAACCCTGTCTATCACTTTTATCAAGGTAGACTCTTACATTTGGCCAACAAATATGAATTAGAATTTTGTTGTCTGCACCCACCTAGTGACATAATAAAATAAACAATGAATTTACTAATCAAGGAGAACTTAAGTGCAGTTTGCACATGGAAGTAGAATGCTAGACAGCTTAGTGAGAGTAACACAGTAGATTATACCATGGAAAATGAAGTCTGCCACCACTGGGGTTGATGTTTTTTTATGGGGATGGGAGAAGCGATAAACATAACACCAAGAATGCAGGGATGAGTGGGACGGGGGGATTATCTGATGTTCAATAGCTCCAGCAGTCAATAACAACGTTCAGATGAAGCAGAAGAAAGGAAAGACACACACAACATGAATCCTAGCTTGTTTGATGCGTTTTAGAATGGATGGACAACGTGAGTCTATCAGTATGAGGGCATCTCAAGGAAAGAATGGGATGGTGCGAGAAGCAGGTAAAACTAACAACTAAAAAACAAGAACACCAGTATATCCATTCTGAGGGGGGAAGGAGGTGAAAACGCGAAAGGTAGGAGGATAGATAATCATCAATGAAAATTTAAACAGAAAAAAACAAAACACACATATTGCACAGATTAAGGCAAAGATTTAAAAAGACAGTGGCAGATTGTGGAAAAACCCTGACAACACCAGCCTAAGTTTCAATGTTGAGACGTGACTTTAAAAATGACATTCAAAAAGGATGTTGACATGGCTTTTACAGGCAGATTTGGACATGAACGCATTAAGGCATTTTGACTTAGGCTAAAATACTTAAAAGAACAGGTAGATTAAAATACAGTGATTTGACAGAGGCAGGATGACTATTTATAATTCATCTCTTGTTGTTTGTTTGACCTGTAGTCAGGCAGTGAGAGGGAGGAGCTTAGGGACATACCGCTCAGGCCCACTGCTGTCTGGGACTGACACACTGGCATTGTACTGGGCGTGGAATGGGCAGGGGCCAGGGCCATTCGAGCACAGATGTCAATCAAGTAAGGCGCCCATTTAGGGACAGGGCACGATTATGGACAGGGCCAACCAGGGTGTCAGGTGGGCGGGCGCAGGAGGGGCCATCCAGAACATGGGCAACAGAGGAGGAAGTGGGCAAAAGTCAACATAATAAACAAGGGAGAGGGAAGAGGGAAGAGGAATACATTTTTAATATACAGGCTCTACACTGTTCAAATGTGACTTTTATTTGATTCTCTCAGAGATTGGTTTGTCAAAGAGAGAAAAGGTGAAAAGGTGACATTGGAAAATGGGTAATGGCATATTAAGAACATGATAAGTTCAATGTTGGGGAATAGACCAGAGACAGTGAGAGAGAGGGGGAGAACAAATTGTGGAGGGCTAGAAAAAGAGGCAATGACATTTCAATGAATTAAGAATTGATCAGTTTGCCTTAACACTTCTTAAAAAAGGTATTAGCTGGAGCTGTTGGTGACATCATGAACACCGCACTGTGCTAATACATTTAAATTAACAAGAGCATCAGTGTTGCTACAACAGCATTGTTACAATTAATGATCTATATGGAGAAACAAACGGACATGACTTTGGTGCCAAGGGGCAGTTTAGCTGAGGTAATCACGAGGATCATAAGGGAATAAAAAGATAAAAACAACCCCAAAAAGGTTGTCAGAATTCTTCATGAGCTGAGGACTAATCTTAACACAGGCATCAGCCAACCACACCCTTTGTTAACACAGAATCAAATATTGCCAAAAAACAAAACTAGATTGTAAACAGCTATCAAGGGTAAGTGGTTTGAATTAATACAATGTTTTGGAAGGCTGAACAACATTGAAGAGAAAATTAAAGCAAACAAAATGAATATTCTAAATAATGTTCACGGTGTATGAAATGCATAAAATATACTCACGTCTGTACGAAGGGCTTTGATGTTTTTGCCACCCTTCCCAATTACAGCTCCTGCATTCTGAAATCACAAAGAGTACTTACAAAAACTGGAGACATAATATGAAAGAAAATAATAGAAACTATAGTAAAGCAAGTTGAAATAAATTATTCAAAAGGGCAAAGATGTGTACCGGGAAACAAAGAGAAAATAATACAAAATAGAGTATAAGACATCGGCAGTCTTTTTAGATTGGCGCAACATAGAAAGGGACATCAAACATGTTAAATCAAAGGAGAGTTAATTTACTTTGCTCTGCAGGAGGATGCGAAGCTCTACCATCTCGTCAGAGTTCCTGGAGCGCTTGAACGATTTCTGATCCTCTGCATCCTCAGCAGGGCGCTTACCTGGCATAGGGAGATAAATACACACACACACACACACAACAATGCATACAAATAAGATACAATGAAATAATCAAAAAGGCCACAAATAGCAGCGAAGAACAACATCTTAAGACTTTGTCTGGAAAACCGAAAGACAATGCTTTTTTTTTTTAAGTGAAAACACATGAAGTTGGTTTCACACAGAAAATTAAATATAAGCCTAGAGTGAAACATTATAAATCATACATAACTTGCAATATTGAAACTGAAGTAATCAGCTGCTAGGACACTGTCAATCATATCATTTCATGGTAAACTGACATTTCAGAAGTAGATACATTTGTAAAACCTCTCAAACAACATTAGTAACAGAGTAATACATATGTAAAGTGTTATACCGTTGGTCTCAGTGTTGCCGAATGAAGAATCCTCTTGCTGTTCAATTTCTGTCTCCATGGTCTTCTGACAGCGAAGGAGATGGCGTGGGCACCTCTGTCCGGAGAACAGGCAGCAGCAGGGAGAGAGAAGCAGAAAACTGGCCCCGGTAGGCTGTGGTAGTCTGTAAGCATTGTGAAAGGGGAGAACATAATTAAGACAATTCAGACTATGTGCAGGAGATCCGGTTATTCGAGAACTCGAGATAAGTTAGCGAGGAAAACGAGGGAGAAAACAACTGGCATAAAACTCGCAACTCACCGATATTTATTACAGGGACAAGGGCGTGTTGAAAGGCGGAACTAAATAAGCAAGGACCAAACAGCTGCTGCGACCTGTCTGAGAGGGAGAGGCTAGTTGAAATACTACATGTAATATGAAAAGGCTTATTGAAAGTAAGGTCTGTAACGGAACAATTATAATCACATATGCATTAAATCATCCCTATGTTTGAATCACTTGGATTGATGTTTGACTAACAAAGCAATCGTTTAGGACTATTATTAATCGAAGTGACACAATTATTATTATTATTATTATAACAGTATCGCGTCGTGATATTCATAGTATTCATAGTATCTGGGTGCAGAGAAACTAATATTGCGCATTGTTTTCGAGTTAACGGTGTCTGCTACGCTTGCTAAGAGACGAGCCGATCAGCCAGTGACGAGAGAATAGTACACATCTTAGATATCCAAATAACGTCACTATGTATCTATATAACTGCATTTGTATCGGGAAATAACATGGTGGGCGAATCATCAGTAGCCAATGCAACGTGACAGTTAGAAACTGGGACCGGACCTTAGGTAAATAACTGTACCACTTTGATGACATTTAACAAACTGAAAGTGAGCTAACGTTACCTTAGCTCATCTGAAGCTAACCTTTCGACCGTTGGCTAAATCCTGTCGTTGCTAGCTATTTTAGCTACGCGCTTCGTCGTGTGGATTTCATCGAGCAATTCCCCTAAATGTCAAACGTTCACTTATTCAAGACTCGTAACTATATACATAAACTGCATAGTGTCGTTTATATCTCTTATCTATCGAGGTTTAGTCACTAAAACATGAGAACTTGATTAATACAAAGACCAGCCCGAGCCCACTCAAGCTAGCTGCTAGCTCATTTCGCCATGTTGCCATCATTTCGGTTGTGCACAACGGGAGCTAACGTTAGCCGGGCCAGCTAATTAGGCAGCGTTGCATCAGACACAAAACAAGGACCAAAGACACCACTAAATGTGTGTTTCTTTATATAGTTCCTGTGTACTTCAACAACATTGGGCTCAGAAAAATGAAAACATCGTCAAAACACAAACCTGCAGAGCAACACCTCAGTCGTCCCCTTTCCTTCTCTACCGAACCTGGATCTACAGGTTTTTGGTCAAATGTGCCGATTGGCGGAGAAAAACGCCAGTCAAGCAGCCGAGAGTCACAATTGGCTAGAATAAACGTCGGTCACAAGATAAGAGGCGTTTCCAAGCCGTATTTCCGTGTGCTGTTACATCCGTGAATTTCAGTGTGGTTGCTCAAGTTACTCCTGTTTATAAGGTATGATCTGATCAACAATGATACTTTTAGGTTATGTCTAAGTAATTTTAGAGGAACACATGTTATTTGTAATCAACTGCTGTTTAATATCTGAGCTTCTATGGTCATGTTGTATGGGCACACAGCTAATGTGCGCAAACACTACTAAATAAATAGTCAACTTTGGCGCCTTGGCAGCTTTCCACAACACTTCGTGGAAGAGGCTACATCCATGTCTCTCATGCAACGTCTACAACTATTACTTATAACATTAACTTATTTGGTATTATGTTGTTGCATTTGTTATTATTCTGCTGCATGCTATCCCTAATTCTCACTCTATATTTTGTTCTCCCCCTTCACAGTACCTGGACGTGACATTAATTACAATATATGACATTTGAACCATTACTTGTTAATAAATGGGTCATTGCTAACGTGTGCTCCGTGGGAGAATCATTACTGATAAATGCAATTGAATATAAATAACGTAACTGCCTTTATATAATTAGAAGCAACAGAGAGGAAATTATCTCGAATTGGTCTTGTCAGATACACACAAAAGTAAAGAGGATGGCCCCTGAGGTCCAGGCAGTGGTACATTCTACCCAAGCCTGGCTGCGCTCCTCCTGGCACGTTCAGGTGCCCTTTGCCTGGCTGGAGGCCTGCGTGGAGTGGCTGCAGGAGGAGGCTGGAGGAGCAGGTCGTCTGTCACAGCAGCAAATCAACCAGCAGGTATGCAGGATGTCTCAATGTGTTAATGTGCAGCTGAATGCAACATGATGAGTCCACAGTCTGCTCTGTTGATATTGAGATAGCTCAGTTACATTACATTACAGTTCTGAAGACGCCATTCAAGTATGGGACTTGACAAGATCACATAATAACAGGTGCTTGTAAATTAAGTGGGGTGGGATATGGTCTCTGGCATTTGGTCATGATGAATCTCCTCCTGGTCTTTCTCATGCACTGACTCCTGGTTGATAAGCTATAACCCCTTCCCAGTCAACGTAACTTGTTTTGGTGTAGTGTCTAACTGGCAGCTGATATTTCTGCTGTATTCAGTCAGTGTTTTCAGGAGATTTAGCAATTATTTGACAGAAGCAAAAACGTCTGCAACTATTATAGATTTTTTTATTTATCGTTAAAATAATTTTTCCTGCAGAAATGCCAAAAAATACTAATTTAACCTTAGAGCAGATGGTCGAAAGTCCAAGAAGATCATGCTCTAAGCTTTAAAAAGTAATACAAAACAATACACATAATATAGAGTGTTATAAAATAGGTCTTAAGAGTAGAACATGTACTTGCTGTGAATGACAGATTTGCTCACAAATTAAACCCTCCTGTTCCTCACTACATGATATGAAATTGTAGGCGCTGGACCAGTGGCTGATGACAGACCTGAGGGACCTGGGCCACCCGGTCCTCCCGGAGAGTTTCTCCCAGGCCCAGAAGACCGAACTCAGCGGCACCTTCTGTGTCCAGGTACGGACTTGTTGATCATATATTTAATTTTCCGTATTTCATATCATGCCACAGCACAAATATGAGTCCACACTGAGCAAAGAAAATTACCGGAATGTTTCCATCTATTTCTTTCATGGAGCCAAAACGTTATGATTAACTTATTTAGTTTGTTTGCTGTTGATTTGGCTTTCTATCTTAAAAAAGGTGGTTGAAGCAATGTGTTGCTTTATGATAAAAGAAGTCTTAATATTTCCCTTTTGCTTTATCGTGATCCAGATTATAAGCCAAATAGGTGTTGACATTTATTTGTATTGACAATAACTGTGATATTTAAAATAATGTAATATTGATATCATAATAATCACATAAATGATAATATAGTATATGTATATATCCAGTGTCCTTTTGAAATATGTTCTGTTTGTAATCTTTTGTACAGTCGTGGTTACAGACTCTCTCTACACTCCTGTTTTCAGTGTTAGTCTTTTGCGAAATAATAGACAAATCTCACAATAAACCAAGTTAAATATTAACTGAATGAAATAATTACCATTACTATTTTCTTTTTCAATTTTTTTGTTGATATAGCAAACATATCGTAAGGATGAATTCTTCTGGCCAAGATAATCATGAAGTGATTATTTAATATTGCCCGAAATCCAATAGAACTGTGTAACAAAAAGACAAAAGCACACAGCAAAATAAATGCTATTGTGCAATTATAGGGAAAAAAAAGATTGGAGTACAGGCGGAATCGATATTATAAGAAAGCACTACTGGATTCCACTTTTCCTTTCGATAGAAAATTAAAAGTGGAAACTCTGAGACTGAGTAATTACATGTAAGTTGGTTCCCAAGACAAAATGAGAGGAGCCACAAGATACATGTAGCACTCACAAAGAAGACTAGCAATTAAAAAATCTCCAGAACAGTACTGTATATGATTTATACTGTTATGGGACTGTGTCAAGCGGTTCAGTATATTTTTAAGAAATGTATATGCAGCAAAAGGTTAATGTTACCATTGGTACCACTCTGTGTTAGGTTGACTCATTACTGGACATTGGTCAGCCTGCCTACGGTCAGCTGCAGAAGTGGAAGGGCTCAGATGTTGCCAACGACGACGTGTCTGCTGTCACACAGGCCACCCAGAGGCCCTGGGAAGCCAGGCCAACACGCATGCTACTGTTGCAGGTCAGAGGAATGTCTGAAATAAAGAAGTTATTAAAAAAAAATTCCCTTTGAATTGGAAATGTATTTCTTTGTAAGTGAATGCCCCCAAACAGTTGGATTACCTGTCATAAATAGAATATGCGATATTGAGATGCTGCAAAGATTAGTCGGTCAGGGAAAATATGGCCAAGTATTTTGATTATTTATTTATTTTTTAAGCAAAATGGGCTGAACAATGTTTTTTTTAGCCTCTCAAGATGAAGATGTTGTAGTCTGAAAGTAAAACTATTGTACAGCCTTTTTTACCATTGTGCTCAAACTGGTTGGGACTAAATTATAACAAATACAAAGTAACACTATTTACCAATGTGTGCAATTATGCTCAATCAACTGTCCAACCATATTCTATAGCCAGGATTTTTCTTTTAAGTGCTAGTTCGGGTAGAATAATGTAGACTTCTGCTTCTCTTCCTAACTGAATCAGAGTGGAGAGGTCCAATCAGTGGTAGAATATGAAAGAGTAAATTGCTGGAATATAAGGACTGTAATTTTCACCTTAAGTAATACACTTGTCACTGCTCTTAGGTTTCTCAAGAATAGTGCTAGCGTTGCTAAGAAACGTTGCAATGCCTTTCTTCTTTTCTCTTTTTCTTTCTCCGATATCCAAAGTCTCTCAATTCTAGGAGTCATGCGGGCAAAGACCCATAGCAGTTTAAATGCACTAGAATCACTGTCAAAAGCAAGCGTAACGAAGCAGACGTGTCCAGATAAGCTTTGCATTTGGAAAGCTCAGGCCAACCAGCATTTATAATATATAGGAAAACCTCTATTTAGAAATTCCCTCAGTCTAGGTTTGAACCAGCAGTAAAGTTTTGGATGGTTTAGCAGCTAAACACCCTACTGTAATTGTGATTTACATGTACAGTATTACAGTAACTGCCTTCACAGGTAGAAATGCTTTTTGTAATTTGTTCTTGAATATGTAAATCTGTCATACTTTCCCTGTTCGGTTGCTCCTGCTCAAATTATCTGTCTCTGTTGTACAGGTGACTGATGGAGTCCAGAGCTTGGAGGCAATGGAGTATCAGTCCATCCCTGCACTCAGCACAGCTCTCAGGTAAGAATCAATCCGAGTTAATTTACCTGCATTCTGGTGTCCTTCTTTTAAAACAATAAATGTATTCAAACCTATGGAAGCTAAAGGAAACGGAACAACCTTTGTTACATATTTACGTGTTATTTGAAATGTTCATTTCATGAAATCGAAAATCACTGCTACGTCACTGCCAGTTTCTCAAGGAAAAAATAAAACACGATAGTTTAAAAAACCTTTTTGTAACATGTTTTTAAAAAATAGTTTATATCGGATTGCCTTTTCTTCTGACCGTCAGACCTGGTGTGAAGCTGCAGCTGCAGGGGAAGATGGTTTGCAGACTTGGGATGCTTCTGTTGGGGCCGTCCAACATAAAGGTCCTGGGTGGGGAAGTAGAGGACCTGGTGGAGAGGAATACACAGGTAAACTGTTGCTGTCTGTCAAAGCAGATATAAGCCAGTTCATGGCTTCAGGGAGGGTGTGGCTCAGTGGTTTAGTGCGCTGATCCTCGAATCAGATAATAGCAAGTTCGAGTCCCACTGCAGTCAGCATGTCGTTGTGTCCCTGGGCAAGACACTTCACCCCAAATTGCTCCTGTGGGGATTGCCCACAGTACTGAATGTATGTAAGTCGCTTTGGATAAAAGCGTCTAACAAGTGACATGTAATGTAATGTTCACGTCTTAATTTGTCTTACAAATTTGGTATGAGACTATTTGGACCTAACCGCCTGTATAGTGATTATGTCCAAAGTCCAATAGGAATGCTTTAGTTCCTGTTTTGTACAGCTACTGAAGCAGAGATAAAGTCAAATTCCCAGAAATTCTTGTACAGCAGTGTATATTATTTAATAATATATATTTTGTTACCGACAGAGCAAGGTGCTGTGTCGGACGCTGGGAGTTCCTGAGGAGGAGGAGCAGCAGCAGCAGGAGCCAGCACCACAACAAGGTATATTCAATTAACTTTAACAATTCAGATTGTATATACAGGGTGTCCGCAGGGTCTTAAAGTATTAAAAGTTGATGAATCAATTTAGCGAAAATTAAGGCTATTAAAAAGTATTAAACTGCATTTTCCAAGGTATTACATTTTGTAGCTTGTTTTCAATAAGTATATAAATTGTCCAAAGAGGTTGTATTCTAAAGTCTGCCTGAATGTAATCATTGCGTAGGTGTGTAGTGTGATTCTGTGTAGTTTATTTATGGCATCCCGTTGGGTTTGACGTCATCTGAACAGGACATTGCACGCTCACTGCTTGATAGCGCGCGAAGGTCCGTTTACGCCGGTTGTTAAACATCATCGTTATGGGGAAATGCAAGTCTGCATCCAAATGGTTGGAAGATAAGGAGGAAGGACAATCAATACTTTATGTAGTAAATGTGAGGTAAAGTGTGTTGCCAATGTAACCGGTTAAAACTCAAAGTGGCGATGAGGTCTTAAAATGTATGGAAAGGGTCTTAAAAAAGGTCTTAAAAGGTGTTACATTTGACTTCAGGATTCCTGCATATACCCTGTATATAATATAATACCTGTTTAAGAATGGTAATGGATGCCTGGTTTCTCAGCCTAGGATAGTTTAAATTGTTTAAGTTAGGTTGTATAAGGTAGTTTTCTATAGTCAGTGCATTACCTAAAGTAGATTAGCTATGGTCTCTTTAAAGCCACCAGACCCCATTGATAAAACAGACATTTTGACCTCACAGTACATACGAGTTGCTGCTCTTCCACAGCCTAGATTGGTGAGTTTGTATTTTTTTGTGTGATTTTGGTTAGTTTGGATATACCTAAAGTGCTGACCAATATCCGCTTGTCAATACAACAACTGTGTTAAGACCACCCGCTTCCAACACTGCAAGCTATCACATCAAAATACCCATTCTGTATTTTAAAGGTCCCATGTCATGCTTTTCCGGTTATTACTCGTCCCCTTGTGTGTTATGAAGGTTTTTATGCATGTAAACCAGGTGTCAAACTCAATTTCATCGTGGGCTACATTAGCATTATGGTTGCACTCAAAGGGCCGGTTGTAACTATATAAATATACATATATAAATTAGGGCTGTCAAGTTAACGCGTTAATAACGCGTTAATGCAAAAAAAATTAACGCCACTAATTATTTTAACGCGATTTAACGCATGTGTATTTTTTTTCCTCGGCCGCCCCGTAGTTTCAGAGCGCATCGAGTTTAAAATACCATCTACAAGCTGATGCTGACAGCCCCGCTTCTGCCGCCTGCTTGTGGCAGACCACACTTCCACGCTCACCGGCAGGCACCGACTGGCTATTGGGAGGACCGGGAGGGTGTGTGTATGTGTGGCTCGAGCGAGAGAGAGACCTTACGTGCATTGTTGTTGTTAGCATCTGGTGCTAGCTAGCTGCGCTAACGGATATAAGGAGCTGTTTAAATTAAAACAGAGGAGCGACATTTCGCCGACAACTGCGCCGAGCACTTGACTTTATGCAGGAAGCCAGACAGTGGGACATTGTACGAGAAGTCAGCACACTCAGCACGGATAGAGCGCGCAAGATGATCACAGCGTCCAGGCAGCTCCCGTTCGAGCATATGCCTTGAGTTGCACATAGCTCCAACGATCCATCTCACACACACACACACACACACACACACACACACACACACACACACACACACACACACACACACACACACACACACACACACACACACACACACACACACACACACACACACACACACACACACACACACACACACACACACATTGTATTAGGTTCCAGGTTGAATTGAGGCGAATATTTGTAATATTCATAGGTTGTTGTGTTTAATATTCATGAGGATATTTGTCATTGTTCAAATGATAATAAACATTTGCATAAAGCATATTTGTCCACTCATATGTTGATAAGAGTATTAAAAACTTGAAAAATATTCCTCTAAGGTACATTTAAAACAGATAAAAAATGTGCGATTAATTTGCGATTAATCGCGATTAACTATGGACAATCATGCGATTAATCGCGATTAAATATTTTAATCGACTGGCAGCCCTAATATAAATACATAATATATATGAAATGATGTATTATATTATTGCCTCTGTATTGGATTTTTATTGGATAGGGTAATAACTTCATAATTAACTACGTCTGAAAGCAGAAGTCTAGGGTAAATAATTGCAAGTCTCTCTCTCGAAGAAGAAGATTCAACTTATTGTCATTACGTAGTACAGGTACTAAGTAACGAAACGGTTTCTCTGCATTTGACCCATCCTAGTGTTAGGAGCAGTGTGCTGCCATTTTGAACGGCGCCCGGGGAGCAGTGTAGGGAACGGTGCCTTGCTCAGGGACACCTCGGTAGCACTTGGTCTTTCCGGGACTTGAACTGGTGACCTTCCAGTTGCCAAGCCAATCCCTATGGACTTCGCCATCACCGCCCCAGTGCAGTCTTCAGTGCGCATGTCACAAAATGAGATGCATTGTGGGACATGTAGTTTATGGGCAACATGCTTCTTCTGTAAGATAGGATAAGATAGTTTAACAGCAACAGGGTGAGATTGAAAAACAGGACAGATTCACACAGATTAATAAAATTAAGGATAAATCAAAGATAAAAATAAGAAATAACTATAAAATAAGAAATTAATTAAAATAAACATATATAGATATACTGTAAAGCGGCATGTATAATAAACGTATTATATTCTTTGTAAGCTCTTGCGGGCCACATAAAATCAAGTCGCGGCACCCCTGATGTAAACGGTCTGCAAAGTCAAAAACCCTCAAAGTATACCCTGTAGCAAGTAAAACTCTAACACAGAAAAGACCTATCTATGCTGCCCCAGAACGCCTCGTTGGAGATTTCTCTTTTTCCATTGTTTTCTTCCTGGGTACAGTGACGTGGCCATACCCAAATGGACCCATTGGTCCAAATGGACCAATCCGTGGAGCCGTTACGTTACGTCCGCGGAGCCGTTGGGTTAAGTCCGTGGATTGGTCCAAATGGACCAATCCACGGACTTCCTCACACACACACTCAATCTTTTCTCAGCTGCAGCTCCGCCGATTTCTCCTCCCTGAGACGGCGGGACGCGGCGAGGCTGTGAGTCAAACTCCCAGCCAGGCTGCGGGTGCGTGTGTGTGTTCGGACTGGGTTTCGCTGTGTCTTGCTGTCTCGCAGACGGCCACTGGGCTCACAGGGAGGGGGGGCAGGAGCTCCAACAAGCCGTTTAGGACAGAGTGAATACGCATACTATACAGAGATGCTGTATGAGAAACCAATGTGTTTTTGGAAAATTGCACAATATAAATATATTCTAGTAGACCTCAACAATGGAATTATGATCAGTAGAAATGGCCATGACATGGGACATTTAACCTAATCATGATGTTTTGTCTCTTTTTGTTTCCTCTTTAGGTAACCAGGAAGTGGAGGACCTGGACTTTGATGACGCAGAGTTGTTGGCCACTCTGGAGGCCCAGGAGGAGGGGGGGAGGGCTCAGGGCGGTCCTGTTGGAGACAGTGGCTACGGGACGCTCAGTGAGACCTACACTCAGTCCTCCAGGAGCTCCTCAGTCAGGAGCCACGCCTCGACAGCCTCATCCAGGTGGGAGGTTAACAATATAATATCTTGACATTCTATGCCTGAAACTCCTCTGTTCATATTCTTTGACATTTAGAATGTAAGCATAGTGTTTGTCTTGAAAAAAAGAAGATCTGCATTTATCCTACAGCTACTTTGGGAAGCATTTCACACGTTGATTCAGCCTATAGTAAGGTAGTCTTTGACGATCCATTCTGCATAGACAGAAATAATTTACAATACATTTAAATATAACGTCTCCTTTTGATTTGAGTGAAAGACAGTCATTTCCATCACAATTATGAAATTATATGAAAAATGAGCTGTCCAATTATTGTAGTTTAGTAGCTGTAATCAAAGATAAAACACAACAGTTAAGAGTGATTTCTGATCTAGGATCTTGGTACCCTTGTTAGAGCATGAGAGTATTCCATTTGTTCCCAAAAGACTCCTACCTCTTAAAATAGTCTGACCATATTTGTTTTTATGTATATGATCATTTATTATGACCTCTGCCTCAATGGCCCACCAACATTGTGAAAAACCCTTGGAATGTTTAAAAGCTTCACAAACTCAGTCTGACATTTTTTGGCTGGTCTGTTACAGAAGTGGTTTGAACCAGAGCAACAGAGGTGGTTCAGTCCAAGGTCGTCGCCAGGGTAACGAACACGAGGACTTTGACCTTTCAAATCAGCCAGAGATCCCAGCTCACAACATGCCAGATGAAGACTTTCCCGACGAAGACTTTGACGATCTTCCTCTGGATGAGTTGGACAGTGTGATTTTTCAAGAGAGTACAAACATTACTGCGCAGTCTGCCATCAGTCACAGGAGCACGCCACAGAACAACAACAACATACCAACAGGAAATCCTAACAGAGCAACAAACGCCCAAACTGCTCCATACGATCAGCACACTTTGAATGACTCTGATTCACAAATTGGATCAAACAACTCCAGGTCCAACACACAGAAAAAAGACTATCAAGGCTTTGCTAAAAGAGCAGCAGCTTTAGAATCAGATTGTGTTGCTGACGATGAAAGTGATTTCATGGATGAGGAAATGGATTGCTTTCTTGCAGAGTTAGATACTGGGAGGTTAAATCAGCTCTCTGTCCATCAAGGACCTAGCAAACACAGAGAGAGCTCTACCAACAAAACAGACACTGCAGGCTCCAGCTGTAGGATTACCAGCGTGTCATCAAGAAGTGTAAAAGAGTCTGCATTTGAGAGCTCACATAACACACCTCAAGTGCAAAATAACAGCTCAACCACTGCAGTAATTGATAGACTATCTGCTAGAACAGAACCTCAGAGTAATTCCTCAGCTCCTGCTCTCTCGCTGACCTCTCCACCTTTTACATATTTGTCTCTTCTTGAAGAGATGATGTCCAAACCACAACATCCCCGCACAGAGATCCGAGTCAAGGCTTTCATTGTGACTCTCTTGGGAAAACTGAGCAGCACCAACGGTTTTTGGCGCGTCTGTGCCACAATATCCGATGGAACAGGGTTCATGGACGTGGAGCTGTCCAACGAGGTTTTGACGGGCCTGCTGGGCTTCTCGGTGGCGGAGAAGGGGGCTCTGAAGCGTGACCCAGCCCGGAGAGGGGAGCTGGACCACGGAATGAGGAGGTGTCAGGAGGAGCTGGTGGACATGTGCAGTGTTATGACCATCGTGCTCGGGCCAGACGGAGGAAGAGCTGTCGTGACCAGGGCCGACCCCGTCAACGAGAAGGTGGTCCAGCAGCTGGAGCAGAGGGTGAGGGACGGGAGGAAATAGACATGAGGGGAAGTGGGGGCGATAATGAGAAAATTACAGGCAGGGGAGAAGTTTATTGCCCTTAAGCAGAGATGAAAAATTGCAAATATATGCATCGCATTGAAAATTCTCCCTCAGGTAATGAAGCTAAGGTGGTTTTTCTTTTAGGATTGGTATTTAACCTGCCCTTCTGCTGCGGATTTGGAGAGCAGGATGTGTGAACTGGATGTCTGACGATCAGCAAGCAGCCTGTTGCAATGCATCCATCTGGTATATGTAAATGTGACATCCTGTCATTTGTCAGTAGATGGTTTCATTTATCTATTTAAAGATCTGGCACTGCATCACTCCCAAAGATAACCGATACATAATATCTACACTAAATGTTAATGATCGGTTGTAAACATATTAGTTGAAACTCCCTAATTGTATTCAAACTATAACTATGTGAGGAGGAGAGCGGAGCAAGTGAGATGAGAGAAGGGAGCGGGGGGAGAAAATAAGTCGTGTTCTGATTGCTGTAATGAATTGCTAGCCTTTGCATCCATTCAGTACATTCATTACTTCTGACTGAAAAATGATTGAATATCCAAGAGCAGCATGGGTCTTTAATAAAGCCCACCGGAGGAGAAAGAGAAGAAAGGGAGATAATAAGGAGAGACCATGAGCTTCGATGATATGTGTTTATTGTAGAGCATTATGTATATATATCACACAAAGGTGATGTCCTGCTTGTTTTAACTGTATATTGATAGAAATTGTTCTGACGGTTTTATAATTTTATTTTACACTGACTAATAAAACATGCTTGAAACAAAAGCTTGTTGCTAATTTTATCTTTACATTTCTCCTTGTCAAATGAGCATTGTATTCAAGATGAAAAACATGAAAAATCAATCACTGGGTGAGTAGCAGTGTTTCATTGGATTTATAATAGTCTTAAGTGTACCTTTGGGATGTGCAACATTTAAGCACACATATACATAATTAAAAGCAGTATTATCTGGTCTTGCAGCTCTTTAGAGGTGTCAAACATGTCTCTTTAAGATGAAACATCTCAACAATTTGTACTCCTCATTCATTTGTGTCTTGTCTGCCATCATACAATATAATTAGGTGTCTCTCACACATTAATTTCCTCAGTGTGAAAATGAGCAAAACACAGGCTAATAAAGGTACCACAGAGAATGTATGTTAGTACATGTGTGTATGTACGTACGTACGTATGTACGTGCAGGAGGGCTCATATGTGTTTGTTATTGTCTCAAGGCACTGTGTGCACTTCCATTCAGGTAGCTGGTCTAGCTTCATTAAGGCTAATCAGGCTGAGCGTCTAAATGAAGACCCTGCTATGCATGTCGATAACCTGTTATGTGCTAATGAGGCTGGGGGTGATGATGAAGGAGGGGGAGAAGCAACCCATAGGGTGACACGAGGAATACATATTTGGTGATAGATTAAATGAAAGAAGGGGGGTTTTCTCAATGATCAAACCTCACCTATTTCACTGTATGCTTTCAACTAGTAAATATATACAGTCAATACATAACTGTACACCTTTGACTAAAATACATTTCCTAATTATGCGTTCCCTTTTTAACGTGTTCAATGTATGTGTAGTCTGGTTCAAATGTAAGCCAGAGAAGAATCAAAAATACTACGCAGGGATAGAAGTCATGCTGGACATATAAGAGTAATAATATAATACGAAAGTATCGCTATTGTTAAAGTCAGAAACAGCTCTTTTAAGTATGATGGTTTATTGATCTATTGTAGGTCAATAGAAAGCTAAAATAAGGTTTGAATAAAAAAAAAAGTAAATTGAATAAAGCATAAACATTGTTGTTTTTAGTTTGCTTATGAAGAATATAAATTAGATTGATATTAAATTTAAAAAAAATGTAATACTCAACCTTTAAGCCTCAAGAACACCCAGGTGAGATTTGTCAAAGTTTAACATTTGTATCATTTCATAGGACTAATACACAATTGAGTATCAGATAAGATTATACATACATTTATATATAACATAATGATATAATTTGCATCTGCCCAAGTAGTTTCGTAATATTTCCAGTTACTGCTGCTTTTTACTCAAGAGTAAAAAAGAATTATATATATATTTTAACTTTGAGAGCACTATTAAGTTGCATATTCAGATTTGACATTAAACCATATAAGCTATTCAAAGATTTGTTAAAAAGTATTTAGCATTAACGAACATTATTACCAATAAAATGCTGCTTACATTCTAAAGGTTATATCTATGATAATTAACCATACAAATAACATGTCTAACAATATACAACGTGGTCAGGATTTTTAAAAAATAGTTTTACAGGAGGTTGATTTAGTACAACATTTTGTATTTACTGAATGGAAGGATCTGAGTACCTCCACCACTGCATATATATTGAGAATAAAGACTTTCAGCCAGTAAATTACCAAGACGGAAGAGGGCAAGGAACAAATACAGTACCGAGGACACGGACCAAACTATTATTTTCTCAGAGATCTTTTATGAAGCTTATGACCTTCATCATTTCCTCCCAAATGTATTACATGTGCACTGAAGGTTGAATTTTTAAAAGATGGTAATGCAGCGGCACATGAGAAATGACATATTTCCGAAGCAGCATGAGAAAGTGCTTGACCACACTAATAGCTTTCCATTTGCGATATTATTTCCTCTATGTTAGTCTTCCACTTGTGTCTCAGTCCGGAGCGGTAGCAAGGAGAAAAAACATGTTATTTTTTCCCTGTGAGTTTGGAAGTACCTTTCCAAATTGTAGTAACAGGCGAGTGGAGGAGGCTGAGTCAGGAGGGACTCACGGGAGACAGAGCACTGTGCTAATTTCTATAATGCTCATATACAGCTGCACTGTCCCTATTTGTTCATTACAAATATCAATGAAAAAAAGTATATGAGCAATCCTAATACCCCTCCTGATGCAGCAGATGTCATTTTCTTTGCCCTATTACATTTAGTAATGAAAAATCCACTTAGACAACTCAACCTCTCTTTTAGGCCTCCATCAAAATGAGCAAATGGTTTCTCTTCATGGCAAAAACATACCTCTTTAAGTGTGTGTGTGTGTGTGTGTGTGTGTGTGTGTGTGTGTGTGTGTTTGAGGATGTGAATCATTAAAGGAAAAGAAAATGATAAGTAATTTGGATTTGGGAAACACTAACGTACCTTCCTACTTCGTTCTGGCTCATCTGGACGGATAGAGGGGATGATTATCATGGTTTGAAAATAAATGAAGAAAGGACCCATTTCTGCTAATTTACTTTTCAGGGGCTTTTTATCTTATTTGACAAAAGTTGTTGGAGTCATGCATTTTCTATAATAAGGCCAAATTAAAACATTAATATCTATAGATTTACTAATAAGACAACATATATTAATTATTATTCATTATCTAATAACTTCAGCCATCACTTAATAATCATTGGAGATTCTTCCAAACGAGTGTTAAAATGTCCTAAAATCAAAGTAGGCCTACCAAGAGTTTAAGCCTATGTAGGCTATAGGCTATAGCCCATTTCTGAATAATATATAATATGATTATTTATAAATTATTTATGAATTAATGTGTATATGCAACATTTTAACTTTGCAGGTGAGGTGATAATGGTGGAGCTCATTTAACTCTCTGTATGGGTCTTTAATTAAGTCTGAAGATGACAAATGCCAAATGTCCTTTAAGGTCCTTACACACCAAACTGACACCAAAGAACACGTCCCGACCATACAGTCTATGGTCCCGACGGAACGTCGCCTCACGTCTCCTGCGTCTTGGCCATGTTTCACACTGGAACACACCGCAAAGACTTCAGCCAACGGCCAAGTTGCACGTACGAACTGCGCATGCGTGAGTGGCAATAACTCTCCTTACCAGAAGGCGGCGGTAGTGTGTATTTGTCAGGCCACAACTGGAAGACAGACGGCATGATACACTGAGAGAAGAAGAACAGACTGCGTGATATAAACAAACAACAAATAGCGTGTGCGTTCCATTGTCACTCTACAGCGAGAAGCTCATGGCTTTCCCGAACCTGTGTCGAGCTCGAGTTAAATGAAATCTCAGATTTGCCTTCTTAATAGTTTGTTTGGATCCCTCACTTCCGTTTCGCTTCTCATGCACTGATTCTCGAGCTGAACAGCCAATCAGAGTGATTTATTTGACCGACAGCCGTCGGCACGGCCGAAAAGACACGACGGTGCGGGACACAGCAATCTGAGTAGGGCGACAGGACGCTCATCGTCGGCCTGACATCCATCAACAGCCAAAATCGGCTTGGTGTGTCCGGGGCTTTATAGGAGAACAAGTGAAACACACCATTACCGATTATGTATTTCTCTGGTTTTTAAAATAGTTGGAAGCATTTTTGATAATGTTAATACCAGGGTTCATACACTTTTTCACCAATGATTTTCAATGACTTTTCCATGACTTCTCAATGACCTTTACTTAATTTTCCAAAACTTTGGGAAAAATATTGTTTTCCATAACTTTTCCAGGGCCTGGAATTTGCATTTTGAATTTCCATGACTTTTCCAGGTTTTCAATGACCGTACGAACCCTGTAATACACAACACAACAACATATAGTTGTTTTGTGTGTAAGTCAAGTATTTTTTTTAACACTTGCAGAGTTGTGCCATTACCTTCTCCGGCCAAGGTAGAGGTCACAACTCCAGCTCGGTAATCTCTGATCTTTAAGTTCTCCCTGAATATGGCCATCAAAGGGTAGGATCAATAACTTTTTCATTAACATGTGAAAGGGTTTCAAGAACCTCTGTACCAAAATCTTCCAGCTAAAAAACAACAAAACATGGCTTTCCTGGATCCCTCTTTAGATTTAAAGGGGAGGTCGGTAATTGGTCACAGGCTTAAACAATCATCAGGTGCCTACATGATTTGATTGATGTAATCATTCCTATTGTTTATACTGTGGAGAAAGTAAATGGTTTACAATAATATCAATAACCATGAAACTTTTCAAGTTGATGACTTATTTTGAGACAATAGTGTTTGGTATTGTCGAGGGTTAAGAGAACAAAGCTTCCTTTAAAAAATCTTTGAGAATTTAGAAAGCGATGAAACTGGAAAGCCTGGTGTGTGTGAGATGTGAAGATTTCACGTGAGAGAGTATGCGAAAAAAAGGCCTTTAAATATATGTGTTTCTTTACACACTTTAGGAGAATAGGCTAAATATGTTTAGGATGTTTAAGGAAACCAGACAATTATTTTGTATTAGACATTTTCTACAGATGTAAATAGACATAGCAAAATAAAAACTTACAATTTGAAAGTTTTCTTTTCACAAGTCTAAAAGAACTGTACAAAATCTTAAAATTTACCAAGGCATGACAAACTATGTATTTTTACCTGAAGTGTCTTGCCTTAACAGAACCCTTCCCTAATGTACTCTCATGTAATTGATGGGTGAGAAAGTCCACGGGGCCTATGCAATGGGTCAGTTTCCAATCACTCTACAAAAACATACTAAAAAAACACAAAGGCAATACATTCTGTTAACAGTCAAACAAATGTTGAACGCATAATCCTTTCATTTGAAGAAGAAATAAAGCAGATTGACAAAATGTATAAAAAGTAAAATATGAAAAGACTTGAATGATTTCGAAACAATTAATCAGGTCTTTGACCTATGCGATGACTCAGGTAAATTATGGTTAACTAGACTTAATTAAAGCCTATTAAATACACAGCCCGGTGAGGCGACTCTGAAAGATTGCAGACAAACGATTGACAGGCCCACAATACAGCTGGCCTCCACATCCTATTCTCATAT